ATGTACACTTATTTTGAAATAGTTTGCTATAGCTGTAAGAGATTCACAATCATACAAAAACAGCTGCAAATCTTACAATGATATCTTTTAATAGTTACATTTTGTGGAGTTTGGGGGGTTGTTTATTTCTTAAAAACGCTTTAACACAACAGGTAATTCCCATGCAAAATCAAAATCTAAAGGTAAAAAGACTATATAGTAATAACAAAAGTCGCCTTCTCTTTCTTGCCACCCATTACTTTTCCTTAGAGACAGCTATTGTTACCCATTCACTTATATTTTAGGTACATGAAGCATTTTTATATATGTCCTTATGTATTTAAATAAACAAATGATAGATTATGTACAAGTCTCCATCCTTTAAAATTTTTTAAAAATTTATTTATTTTGAGGCATAGTTTCACTCTTGTTGCTCAAGCTGGAGTGTAATAGTGCAATCTCGGCTCACCGCAGCCTCTGCTGCTGTGTTCAAGTGATTCTCCTGCCTCAGCCTCCTGAGTGGCTGGGATTACAGGCATGCATCACCACACCCGGCTAATTTTGTACTTTTAGTAGAGACAGGGTTTCTCTATGTTGGTAAGGCTGGTCTCAGACTCCCAACCTCAGGTGATGTGCCTGCCTCGGCCTCCCAAAGCGCTGAAATTACAGGCGTGAGCCACCATGCCTGACCTACATTTTAAAATATTTTGTTTTTATTTCAATAGCTTTGGGGGGTACAAGTGGTTTCTGGTTATATGGATGAATATACTTTCTACAGTGGTGAATTCTGAGATTTTTAGTGTACCTGTCACTTGAGCAGTATAGACTGTACCCAATACACAGTCTTTTATCCCTCACCCTTTTCCCAGCATAATGGCTATATTTTGAAAACATGTTATTTATCCAGTCCACAGAATCAGAAACTGCCCACAAAAATAAATAAAATCATGATAATCTGATACACTGGATTTTATAATATGCAACTATCTAGTAGGTGTAATGACTAATTGCCCTGGTAATACATTAGCCTCTGATGTAAAACAGTTTTTTTATGAATGCTCCAGGAGATAGATGTAGGAAAATAAACACATATAAAACTTGTTAAATGCCATTAAGTCAGGCTGGTGCAGGTGACATGCATGGCTCTCACAGTGCTCTGTGTATACCACATTGCGTTATATCCAGAACCCTTCCTAATGAGGCCATGGTTTTTTTTTAAAAAGCAAAGTTCAAGCTCTATTTGTTTTGGTTTTTGTCCTAATGTTCCTTCTGTTGAGATAAATATTTTTTTACATAAGTTATGGATGATATAAGGCATTTAAGTAAAAGAGACTTGACTATTTCCTTTGAAAATGCCACCCAGAATTAAGATACGTTACTTGAAACTTTAGTTTGTATCTGGTTCTTTAGGATTCTGCATGTAGTAAGAGCTGTCTTTCCATAGAGGGACCACCCAGTGTACTGAACTGTGACATGGGATATGGCTCCACCAGCAGCAGATCACACCACCGAACACCCACTGCATCTATCGAAATGTTCAAAGACTAACAGGTAAATGCAGACTCAGCATGAGTGAGAGAAAAAGAGGGGAATGACACAGAGACCTTGTGATTTCAGAGCAGATGCAAAGCTCAAGAATAAAGGACTCCACTGGAAACAGGATAACATCAAGTTCCAACTTATTAGGCCAGTTTCTACATAAAGCCTCTTACAAGCAATCCCAAAGAATCACTTTGGAAATGGACAGAAAGACCCACAACCAATAGAGGAGAGCTGTCTGGAAGATTCCAGCAGCTACTGAATTCACCAGCAGCTACTTTAAAACAACTGAATAACAGTCAGAAGAGGTAGCAAATAAAATGCACAAATTGTGTTGCATTCCACAGGTTCCAAAACTTGAAGTTATATGCTGGAAGCACAGAGCCAGTGCCTGGGGAAAATGTATTTGAACTGTGGTTTGAAATATCTAAGAAAATATTACAGAAAGAGGATGTCTTAGAGATGTAAAAAACAAAGAATTATTGAGAGTTTAGCCAATAGTAGTACATGAACGGATTTAGGTCATAGGTTGAGTCTGAATTAATGGAGAATGGTAGGAAATTTATCGCAAGCTCCAAACTACCTACAAAAAGTAGATAGAAAGACTTCTAATTAAGGAAAGAATGGAATACAATGTAGACAACCCCAACTCTATTAAAAGCAAAATTAGCCAGGCGTAGTGGTATGCACCTGTATTCCCAGCTACTCGGGAGGCTGAGGCAGGATAACCTCTTGAACCTGAGAGGTGGAGGTTGCAGTGAGCCAAGAACATGCCACTGTACTCCAGCCTGGTGTTAAATTGTCATAAGGAAGCATTTACAGTCAAACACTGGTTCCTAACCTCAAGCTCTGTAATGCACCTGAGGCCTGAGAAATCCAGGGTTCTTCTGCTTAAGCACTTAATTTTAAAAGAAAAGTAAAAATCTGAGGTGATCAAGAAGAATTAAAGGCCAATAATACTCAGTCTATTCAGAGACTAAGCTTGAATTCTGTGACCAATACAGAAAGAAACTGAGGTACTAGTGAGTGCTCTGAGGTAGTGGGCATCAGTAGAAGGAGAGGTGGCAGCAGACACTATCAGTGCTCCCCATGATCCTAAGATCCCTTCATACACTGTCCCGTGCTCACAGAGGCTCACACCTACCAGGAAGCTAAATCCTGACTGATATCTCCAAGTTCTTTGGTATGAAATCCCCCCCCACCCTCGGGGCTCTTGGCCTTATCCACAAGGACCACTGGCATTATAGGCAGAATACAGGTATAAACTGAGAAAGTTATGCCACATGCTCTCTCACATGATGTCATTTCCCAGACACTACCTTCCCAGAAAATTAAGACCTTATAGAAAAATAGTGAAAGCCATTAAGATGTTTAAATTCATAAAAGTAAATAAAACAGCAGGCTAAATTCAGACAACATCAATAACATTTGTCACTTAAATTATCATGAGGACTATATTATTAATTTCCGTTTTCTATCACTTGCACTGAAGAAACCTTTCAGAATCCTTTCTCAGGCACCTTCACTCACCACCCACAGCAGTTTCAACAATACAGGTGATGCTTAAAAATGCATTTTGCTTACAGATAATACACAAAGTTTTATGTGTCAACTTGAATAGGCTATACTACTCAATTATTTAACCAAACACTGATACCAGAGTAGCTGTAAAGGTATTTTGTAGATGCAGTTAACATCTACAATCAGTTTACTGTAAGTAAAGGAGATGAACCTCCATGATGTGTGAGGCCCTCATCCATTTAGTCACAGCCCTTAAAAGCAAAAACAAGGTATCCTGGAGAAGAAATTCTGCCTCAAGACAGCAGCATCACCTTCTGCCTGAGTTTCCAGCCTCAGGACCTGCCCGACAGATGTCAGACTTGCTACCACCACAATAACATAATACCTTAAAATAAACAAACATACATATATACATATATATATCCTCCTTGGTTCTATTTCTCTGAAGACCCTTCCTGATACATGCACAGAGAGACTTCCTATGTGCAGTTTTTACTCCAGTTTTCCAACCTTTTCTGATTGTATAATCTCTATTCCTACTTGTACCTCAGCTCTTAACCTCCTCATAGAAACCATCAAAGAGTCTTGTGTCACATTACAATGTTTCAGTGAATAGTGAACCGTATACACAATTGTGGTTTCATATGATAATAATATTATATTCTTACGGTACTATTTCTGTATTTAAACCTTTTTCAGTTTCATTTTTTAGAGAAGGGGTCCCTTCTGTTGCCTAGGCTGGAGTGCATTGGCAAGATCGCAGTTCATTGCAGCCTTGCTCTTGGCTCAGGCAATCCTCCCACCTCAACCTCCTGAGTAGATGGAACTACAGGCATGTGCCACAAGGCCCAGCTAAATTTATATATATATATATATATATATATATATATATATATATATATATAAAATACATATTAAATATGTATACACATATATATAATATATAAATATATAAAATATATATGTACAAATATATATATATATATTAGAGATGGGGTTGCTATGTTGCTCAGGCTGGGCTCCAACTCCTGGCCTCAATTCTCCTGCCTTAGCCTCCTGAGTAGCTGGAATTAGGCACAAGCCACTGTGCCTAGCTTATTTAGAATATGTTGGATACACAAATACTTGCCACTGTCTTCCAATTGCCTCCATTATTCAGTACAGTAACATGCTGTAAAGGTTTATAGCCCAGGAGCAATAGGCTATACCACATAGCTTAGGAGTGGGGTAGGCTATACCATCTAGGCTTGTACAAATATGCTCTATGATGTTCACTTGATGATGCATTTCTTAGAACAAACCCCTGTCATTAATCAACACATGAATATATAATTCCTGGGACTGAGTTTTCCAAATTTTTGTTTCAACAGACTACACTGCTGCTTTCCTATTTTGATCACTTGGGCCCTTTTTCTAATACTTAAAAAAGAACAGCAACAAATATAATTGGCATAAACTAGGATGAAAATTCTTATAAAATGAAGACATATAGATCTCTGCATAAGTGAAACTCTAGACTGCAAAAGACTGTCTAGCGTTACAGCTCCTTAACTGTGTTTTTAAAGGTAAGGTACATTTTAAGGCAAGATTTTTTGTTACAGCATAAAACTGAAAATTGTTTCTATATAATTAGAACTTCAACTAGTAATAAAAAAAAATTAAGTATAATTTTATTTACAGAAGTCAAATTCTAAATTCAGGACATGCTTATTTTGAAATTCAAACATCATTACACAGGAAAAACATTTTTCGATGATGAACTTCAGAGCTCTAAAACAACTGTCTAGTGAGATATTTCAACAGTCTTTCTTAAAAAAAAAAAGCTAAACTTTCCTTAAAAACGGAAACATTTCAATACTTAAATACTTAACTGGAATCTAAATGATATTGATTCCAGCCTTAAAAATGCATTAAATGATACAAAAGAAATATAATTTAACATTAAAATATCATATCCTCACCTCCCACATTAACCTGTAATCCATATTTTCATCCAAGTCTTCAGGCATTCTCTTCTCTCCAGCAAAGGGTCCGAACTTTTCACCCTGAGTAACAATGATTATATTGAAAAAAGATTAGTACAATACATCAACATACTAAAATAAACTATTTTTTTCTTCCGGAATGTTTTTCTGCAAATCTTCATGCCCAATGAAGAGACATTTTAAAATATCAACTAATTTACCCAACACAAAATGTTTACATATTTACGATCCAACTTAATCTGTTTTTAGCCTAAAACGCTAACTCCACAACATAGGAGCCAACATAAAAGGGTTCAATCACTTAACTTGCAAATTCTAACAAGGCACTGGACACTGTATTTCATATGTATCAATCCTCTTCATAGTTTCTGGCAAGAGGTCTTGAAAAAAGCACTGAGTTTTGTCTGACTTGAGAGACAAGCCCACCGGGCAGAAAATCACCTGGTTTCCATAAAAATCATAAATTCATCCCTATTATGGGCAAGAAAGAAGTGGGCTTGCCATTCTCAAAGGAAGAGTGTTCATAAATAAACTTTAAATTTGCCTGCCAATCTTTCAAACAGGCAAATTAGCACACTTTAAACCAGGCTTTCTCGAAGTGTGTGCTTTGAAGCCCACCTGCACGACAAACACCAGTGCTGCCAGTTTGAGATGCAGAATTCTGGTGTCTGTTAAAATCAGAATCTGGAAGTAAGCTGTCTTTCAATCTACCCTGAAGGGACTTTTAAGGACATGTTCAATGGGCAAGCAACACTCTTCTCTCTAAAGTGAAGAAAGCAGGGACTGCAGAGAAAGTGTAAATGAGTTGAATTTGTCCAACCAGATATTTTGTTAAAATGTTGCAAAGGAGACACACAGCCACTTGTGCTTCTAAACCTGCCTACGACTATTTTTCAGCACAATCCTCCCCTTTGCATGGAGGTGATGAAAGAAAAAAAGTCAACAATATCTCTTTTGATGAACATTGTAAGGAGAAAAGATAACCACCAAGGCAATATTTCAAGGACATAAATTACTAAATAAACAGCAGAACACACAACTTCTGAGAAAAGTAAAATTTTTAAGCTTAAAGAAATTACAGCCGGGCGCGGTGGCTCAAGCCTGTAATCCCAGCACTTTGGGAGGCCGAGGCGGGTGGATCACGAGGTCGAGAGATCGAGACCATCCTGGTCAACATGGTGAAACCCCGTCTCTACTAAAAATATAAAAAATTAGCTGGGCATGGTGGCGCGTGCCTGTAATCCCAGCTACTCAGGAGGTTGAGGCAGGAGAATTGCTTGAACCCAGGAGGCGGAGGTTGCGGTGAGCCAAGATCGCGCCATTGCACTCCAGCCTGGGTAACAAGAGTGAAACTCCGTCTCAAAAAAGAAATTACAAATATTAATAGTTAAACCAGCCCTCTCATTTGATAGATGAAGAGGTCCTGAGAAGCCATAAATATTGGCAGAGCCAGGAAGACCATTAATTTAATGTTAACTTAGGGGAAGAAAATACCCACAGAAATTCTTCAAATCAAGACTATAATTGTAAGTAACTTAAACAGAGGCAGAGCAAAGAAACAGGGAAATTTCTGACTATTCAAAACATTAGAGATACTAATACAAAGTTTAGACAGCCAATGTCAGAGAAGCCAGAGAAACCTGCTCCGCTTCACAATCCGCTAATGCCTCACTAGTCCCCTCATGCTAAAACGGGCATTCAACAATATCACACTCAAACACGATAGCCCCAGAGAGGCTTTCTTTACAAAGTAATCACTTCTCTCCTCCAGATGGCACCTAACCAGGATTTGATGTCAGGTAGGAAAAGCTCCACAAGAACAGGGGAAAAGAGTTAACACCTACTGAACTACCATGTGCCATGCTCCAAATAATCCTATGTGGAGTTTCCCCATTTAACAACTGAAAATTGAGGCCCAGAGTTTAAATAGCTTGTTTGCTTAAGGTCAATCAGCTGGCGATGAACAGACATAGTATCAGGAACCAGTGGCTTATTCTGAGTGAAGAGCTCAGGCACCATCCACTTCACCAAGCCAACACTCAGAACCCTGACAGACAGCTGTATGGCCCACTGCCGAGGCCACCTGATGCCACATCCTCAGCTTTCTGCTGACTACAATTTAGCAATGACCTGGGCCACGCAATTGCTGTGTACACACTCAATACACTGACTACTGAATTGAAGAAACTGAGTTTATGTTAAAGCCAATCTAGAAAACAGATTTTTTTTAAAAAAAGGTTATTTTGTAATAAATTTGAGGGTTAAGTATGAATGGATGAGGTTCAATTTTTGGTCCAGTCTCATGTATTTAGCCTTTATCAAGTGTTACAGAAAGTAATAATAATCTAAGTTCACACTTTCCAATGTAACTGATCTATCTAAACCACTCAGTTCCTCTTTGCAATATAAATTTGGAGGGGAAAAAAGTGAATCTATCAATTCCACAGTGTCCAGAAGACTAAAGAGGAAAGAGCAGTAACTCAAATAAATGCACTGGGATCAGGGGGAAAAAAGCCTGCTTGGATAAAGACCTAGTAAGATTACTACAGAACTTAAAGCTGTGGAAATTCAGATTAACCAGAACACTGATTTTAAAGCTTCACCATTAATAGAGAACAGTAAATCTCTATCATAAACTCAAACCGCCAAATTATAATAGTGGTTTTTAGCTTTTTACCTCAACTCTTAGTAAGAAATATATTTTGTATCTTAACCTAGCACATTCATACACACACAGAAACACACACCTATAAAACGGAGATACTTAATATTTCAAGAATAACCTTTAAAAACAAACAAACAAACAAAAACCTGTCATTACTGAGATCCAGCTCTGCCACAGAGACCCCCACCCAGGCGGCACTGAAGAAAATGAGAAGCAAACACCCAGATAGAACAACAAAATGGGTCTAACCGAGGGGCCAGCAGTCTTCCAAGCTGAGAGCCTCAGGGAGCTGACGCTGACCCACGCACTTATTCTCTCTGAACAGGTGTTGTTAACAAACAGATGTTCGGTATTTTCTCAAAACACAAAAATAAACCAGGTAGGCAGCTGGTGCCCACTTACCACTGATCACAGACAAACTGAAAAATATTCCCTACAAGGGAGCCACAGGGGCAGGGTCAGATGCACTGCACTTAAAGAATTGTTTTAACTGGTGTATGATATTTATATATTATCCTGACATTTTAGAATGCCACAAGTAGTTTTCTCCTTGGGGGGTGGGGGCAGCCAGGTTTTCCTTGCCATCGTTATTCCTAGCAAGCAATATATTCTATCATACACTCAACATTTCTCAACAACTTAACATTTCTCAGCGTGACACTGTATAAATTTCTTCAGACAATGCATTGACTCTGTATAATGTACTCTCATATTTTCTACTCTGTGTTACTTCATTACTTCATATGTCTTTTTAAAAAAGTTTTGACCCACTAAACTAATTACAGAACTCGATGATGGGCAGCAATCTACAGTTTGAAAAACAATGACATAAAAACACTGATACGGGAGGTAAATTAGCAGTCTCCTGTGAAGAAAACATACCTGAATTACCAAAGGAGATTCAAATACAGCACTCAAAACAAAACAACAACAACAAAAAGCCTTTTAAGAGTTAAAATATGTAACATTTTTATTTTCTTATTGTACCTATCTGTATTTTTCATTTTTATGAATGTGTTATTTTGTGGTTAGAAAAAAGATATTAAAAATAATAAAAATTAAGTCCTTTTAATGTTTAAAAAAATAAAAAAAACCATTAATTTACCAATATCTTCAGAGAATGAATTGAAATAGAGACAAGAATCAAATTCAAAAAATTCACTGAAAACTACACACAGATAAAAATATGATATTTAGAAACCTCACATTTTAAAAAACATAACTCCAGAGTATTTTTTAATGGGATGAGAAGTATATTAGTCTATGCCCACACTGCTAGGAAGAACTTTCCTGAGACTGGATGCTTTATAAGGGAAAGAGGTTTAATTGACTCACAGTTCCGCATTGCTAGGGAGGCCTCAGGAAACTTAGAATCATGGTAGAATGCAAAGGAGAAGCAGACACCTTCACAGCGCTGCAGGACGTAGTGAATACAAGCAGGGGAAACACTGGACACTTATAAAACCATCAGATCTCGTGAGAACTCCCTATTGTGAGAACTCACTGTCATGAGAACAGCATGGGGTAAACTGCCCCATGATCCAATTACTTCCACCTGGTCCTGTCCCTGACACATGGGGACTATAATTCAAGGTGAGATTTGGGTGGGGATACAGAGTCAAACCATATCGAGAGGCATGTATTTTTTGAAAGACAGGGTGTCACTCTTACCCCAGCTGGAGTGCAGCAGTGTGATCACTGCAGCCTCCATGTCCTGGACCAAAGCAATCTTCCTACCCCTACCTCAGCCTCCCAATAGCTAGGACTACAGGCACATGCCACCATGCCTAGCAACTTTTTTTTTTCCATAGAGACAGGGTTTCACTATGTTGCCCAGGCTGGTCTTGAACTTCTGGACTCAACCAATCCTCCCATTCAGTCTCCCAAAGTGCTAGGATTACAGCTCCCAAAGAACTATTGTACACAGTAAGAGGCAATAATTAATAAGAACAATTTTCTAAGCTAAAGATAAACCTGCTTCTGTAAATAAAATGACCTCACTCATTCCCAGTCTAGAATGATGATGATGAAGGAGCCTAGGCAGGTTCTAGTAAATTCCCTGATCTTGACTCTTACTAATTCTTACTAGCACCCAAGCAGAAATAAAAGGTAACCTGTAAAGTATAAAAAAATTAGACTGGCATCAAACACCTCCGGCTGGAACCTACAAAATAGTACAAAAACATCTACAGACTACAAGAAAAGACACAACTTGAGAATCACCAAGTCAAGAGATCCTTTATAACCAGGTGAAAAAAAGACTACTTGATAATATATACAGACTCAGAGGAAACATTACCCACATGATCTAGTTAGAAAAAAGTACCATAAATAAAAAGTCTCTAACCAAATGAACCAGGAAAAAAAGAACAGAAAATGGAAGAAGAGGGCACAT